ATTCGTCTCAACAAAACGAGTCGAATGTATAAAATTTTGCCAGTTTTTAATTGCTGGATCATGGTGTGCAGATATGGTTAGTGCGTTTCACATAGCATCCTATATAAGTTAGTTAACGTCAATAAATATTGCAATTGTTAATATGCGGGAATCTTGTGTATAAATATTATAACTGAGTTAATTTAATTTTACTTTACACTTTTGATTTAGTAATCTTGTACTACTTTACACTTAAACGATCTCGTGCGCTATCAATTTACTTTACACTTAAACGATCTCGTGCACTATCAATTTACTTTACACTCATTTAATTTTATCTCATGCAGTGCACAAAATTTCAGCGTGTCGTAACCCGCTTTTTTTTTGGTAAACGAAATTTAGAAACTCCTGCAATATATTTTATATTGTAAAATTTCCAGAACTATGCCGTAAGTCAACTTAATTAAATGGAACCTCCAGCATTTTACAATAGAATTTTGTACACTGATCGTGCACAATTAATTAATTTTACACTTGTACGTAATGATCTTTTTTTTTTATTTGTTTTGTTTTTTTTGTATTCTATTGCGCAATTGAATTTATATTTTAATGATCTGTAATGATCTTTTTTTTTATTTGTTTTGCTTTTTTTGTATTCTATTGCGCAATTGAATTTATATTTTAATAATCTCGTGCACAATTAATTTATTTTAAATTTTAAATAATCTAGTGCGCGATTAATATACTCTAGACGACGCATTTTAAAAAAAAATGGGATTTTTTAAATAGTATTTTTACTATGCAGAATTGTAAATCATAAAAATAAATTAAGATTCTCCCAATTTTTAATTATGAAACCTAATAAATCAATAATTTAAGTGTCTCTTTTAAATTTGTTTATTTTATTTATCAACATCGCAATTACATCAATTTTCTTACAGCGTCTGTCATGAACATGTGTAATAATGCAGGCAATTGTAATTTTATAATAAAAACTAGGTTTCTGTAACTTTTTATATCATCATAACTAAGCTATAAAAATTTACTTGTATCAGTTAGCATGTGCAAATTGATATGAAATATTATTTTACCAGTTGTAATATCAAAACAAAAAATATCTATGCAAGTATACCCATTACTAGACGCCATACCACTATAAAAACTCGATCTGTACCTTGAATATTAATAATAAAAAAAATGTCAAACAAAACAAAAATTAAAAAAACTGATCAAATCTTACATCAAAATGCCATTAATGCTGCACTTCGTGCACTTAACAATTCCGAAAACCCTAATATTTGTGGAACTGCTCGCAGCTTCGGGGTTTCAGAGACATCTCTTAGGCGCGCAGTAAAAAATAATGGCCCACTTAAACGTCCTGGTCGCACAACTGTCTTAAGCGAACATGAAGAAACACAATTAGTAGGCTATTGCAAAAACATGCAACAATTGGGATTTGGCTTAACAAAATCGGGAGTTAATCACTGTGTAATGGAGATTGTTCGCAGTGATAATCGTAACCATCCGTTTGCTGAGAAAGGGCCCGGACAGGCCTGGTGGGAACGCTTTATGAAAGATCACCCTGATCTATCATTTCGCATTCCCCAAGCCTTGACTGAAGCACGTGCACAAAGAGCCAATGCGACCATTGTGAAAGACCACTTTAACAAGCTTGGTCAAGTAATTAAAGAGCATTCTCTCACTGCTGATCGTATATGGAATATGGACGAAACAGGCTTTTCCCTCTCTCCTAAGGTTCAAAAGGTCCTTGCTGCAAAGGGTGCACGTCAAGTCCACAAGGTCTCACATGGCAATGTGCACGACCACATTTCTGCTGCCCCAACGATCTCAGCAGCTGGAAATTA